ACTGATGTGCTGGAGAGGTTAAGCAGTTTTCTTCCTTTATTCCTCATCCACTTTGTTTCTTTTCCTTCCGCACAAGAGAAAGTCCTGCAGAGGTTGCTGTGTTGCTCTGATGCCCTCTTTACAGCTGCTGGGATCTAGTGGACAAAAGAGGACAGAGGGGAAATGGAGAAGACTGTTTCCTGATTCTGCTTTGCTAGCTGGGAAGTCAAAGCACAGTCATGCTGTCAGTGAAGAATATGCTGAGGGTGCTAGGAGCTTTACCAGTCTAAGTGTAAATAATATTGTGAATAGGGCTTTCTGTTAATTAATGCCCATTCCACAGAGAGTTTGGAAGCAGTTTAAAATAGCAAGATTAGTTTGGCTTTAGAATTCTTTTGCTCATTTCTCTCTCTCCTTCCCTCCTCTTATGATTTAGTATTCCATAATAGGTTTGTTATTTCCCTTTCTATGATATTTAAAGTGCTGCATAGTAGGGGAATTGACTAAACAAAAAGGATTGTCAAGTACATCAAGCTGAACTGCAAATAGGAAGAGAAATTTTCCACTCTGTTTTGGTTCCAATAACTGTTGTCATAGCTTACAACAGCAGCATACAGGAGATTTTAACAAATCCATGTCCCTCTAGAAACAAACTTTGAAAGAGAAACCAGGTAGCCAGGGACTGTTTTGGGAGGAAGTGAGGTAGCGCATGTCAGTATGTGTCAGTTTTCAGCTCTTGTTGGTTTGCCGAGGGTAGATTTATACCCTCATTCAGGCTTTGTGTTGTAGGAAGTCCTTGTGGGTGTTGCTGTGTCATTGCTGTTATGCACTGTGGCACATTAAGACTGATTTAGGAAAAGAACTGTCCTCTTCATCTTTTTGGGGAAGTATTTTAAATCCTCGTTTGGATTTTGAAGGTCTTTTTGAACAAAAGGTGCTCTCTCATTGAAGTGCTGGGAACAATGGCTATCAAGTAGGAATAAACCCACCTAGCTATTAGGGGATGAATACTGAGAGTGAATTGCTTTTGTTCTTGTGAATCTTACTGACAGAACACATGTTGGACAGTGCCTTAATGAAATGGAAGAGCAGCGATGATTGCCGCTGTAAAAAGCCAGATTGTTTTTCTTTAGAATTGCAAACGAGACTTACAGAGACAGTGCATTGTGTTTTAAATATATTGCTGTATTCTATTACAGCTATTTTCAGAAGGTGCCAGCAGAGGCTCCCCAGCTGGAACTGAAAGCAAATTATGGCTTAGTAGAGCCTGTTCCTTTTGAATTTCCTGCCTTGAATGCACACTGGACTCCTGAAACACTTGCGGCATTTGATCTCACCAAGAGGCCAAAGGATGACACTGTAAGATAATCTTATGTACTGTTTTTTTCTTTTAGCTTTATTCTGTGTATAATACAGTTATTATTTTGCTATTCCGTAATGCTGCCCAGCTCAGTGCAGAACATAGACACAAGGCACCACCTGAGCTCATCTTTCCGCTGTTCCAGGAGGCAAGTCAGTACACTTCTCTGCCACACTGTCAGCACCTGGAAATTAGGAGTAATTTTTTTCTAAGTCCTAAATAGGAGGAAATTCTTTACTGTGTATAAGATGCTGAAACGGTACAGGAGCGAATGCTATAGAAAGATTGGGTTTTAGACAAGGATTCATTTAAGGATGCTGAAATAGAGAATATTTGGCTTTTTCCTCCTTGCTTGAGGCTTGCTCAAAGCCTTCAGCCTTGAAGAGAGAGGACAATTAGATTAGAATATGTAAAGTTAGCTGTGCATAAATACTGTGCAGGCACAGTGGTTTGTACTTGCGGTATTTAGGCTTTTTTTTCTTCTTGTTTGCAGGCTAAACCAAAACCAGATGAAGAAGTAAAACCTCTGAAGGAACCAGATATAAAGCCCCAAAAAGACAGTGGATGCCAGATTTCTTAAGTGCCATAAGTGCTTTGAATTCACTTTGAAACTGTATTAATTGGACTCTGGGGCTTTAGTTCTGATCTCCCTTTGTATCATTCTTCCTTTTTAGTTTAGAAGACTAATTTAAGTTACTTTTGTTAGTATGCGTCTGTCTTGCTTGAGAATGTGGTGGATTTCTAGGAGTTTATTTATATCTGACTTATTTTTTGTTTTAGTGGGATATCATGGAATGAGTGGGCTTAAATGTTCCTATTGTGCCTCTAGAGAGTTTCTTTTTGTGGGTTTAGTTTCTACCCACAAATAGCAAAGGAAGTATCATGATTGTAACACTTGAGGATTTTTCCATTAAATTATATGCTATGTAATGTCAAATTCTGCAAACAAAAGTTTGCATGAACAGTTATATTTATTCAGGTTTTGTCATTCAGGCTTAACACCCTGCTGTGTTCCGATTCACTTAATCGTAGTGAGCAAAGAAAATCTGGGTTTGGTTTGTAACACCCCTACGGTATTTCAGCGACTTTCACAGAACTTGGAAAACCTTGTTTTGCATAACTGGAGCACAATTTATATTCTCCTGAAAAGATTAGCCTCTAAAGAACGCTTTCCTCTCTAGAATAGGGTTCTTGTATCAGAATTCGTAGTAAGGTTCTTTAGCTTGTCTGTCTTTAAATTAAAATCTAATATCAGAGTGTATGTGAAAGCAATGCAGCAAGTAATATGGAAGTGATTAAAAGTAATGCATCACGGTGTCATTCATTCAGAGGTTTTGAATCTTGAAAGATTTGGTAAGTTTGAAAGCTGCAGACAGTTAAAATCTCCTGGCACTAGAAAAGCTCCATTTGAATTCATGAAGCTGTGATGCATAATGTAATGGAATTGTAACTAAGATGCTGTGTTTCCATCTGGGTAGTGTCTATAAGAAGCTGTTAGGAGAGCAGGGAGGAAAGATGAGCTGGAGAGCCGATGGCACGACTGGGAAACCAAGCTCTAGGTTTCCTTTATGCCGGATGTAAACAGTGCTATTTCTCAGCCTTTGCAGTATTGCACTGAAATCAGCTCCTTGTGAGCAGAACTTGCCAAAAGCCAAGCCCAGTCAAGACTGAGAAAGAAAGTATTTTGTAGAACTTGCTTCTTCCATTTCTTCCTACTGTGGAAAATGTGATAACACTCTTTAGTGCTGAGCACTCCAAAACACCCGTGTCAACAAAAACATAGCTTTCTGATTTGCTGCAAATGCAAGAGAATGTGATGTGTGTGTTGAAGTGAGGGCCTTGCAATCTCTGGGTACCAGTTGCTGCACTCCATTTTACCTGAAAAAGAAACTAGTCTGAAAATGTTCCCCTTTCAACAAAACACGATGGCATATGCACTTATGATGTATAATCTAAACACATTCCTCACTTTGTACTGTTTGGATCAGTTCATCATCAGGGCTTCTGTTTGAAATCTTTCATGGGACTTAGAGTGACTTAGTGTTGAGGGCAGGTGTGTATGTAGCTCCTTGACGGCCCATGGAACAAAACCTGTTGAGGAGGTTAATCTGAAACTCAGGACTCTTCCTGAGATACTGGACCAAACTACAGAGTTCGTTGCTGCAAAAGGCAAAGAGGATCTTAATGCTGGCTGTCATGGGTGAATCGAATGCGGAACTCATTATTTCCAGTGATGGATTTTAATATCAGCCAGTTCTGCACACAAAAATAAGTGTAAAATTAGCTGAACTGCTTTGGAAGAACTTTCTGTTCTGCAAGGGCTTAGGTGGGGAGTATCAGGAATTCCTATCTAAAATTGCTCCATTTCTTCTGATGCTGCAGAGGGGCCTGGGGTATGTTTTATGAAGAGTTATTCGGATCTGCTCCTAGCTGTCATCAGCTGACTTTTTAAACTTCTTGCACTGTTAAAAGACTAGCTTAGGTTTTGCCAGAATGGAGCGTGGAGCTACTTTGCTTATACAGATTTTAATTCTAAAAACTTACTACAGCTGTAGTCATCTACATTCGTTTAGCCTGCTCCCTTTAAGGATCAAGATGCAGTTAACTCAGTTTCATAATCACGATTTTTTAGTTACTCATTGTTTTTCAGATGCCTGTGTGTTAATGCTTACATGTCTCAACCTAATTAATTTTCTTCCTGTGCAGACTAGATTGTATTTTCCCTCCTCCCCCCTTTTTCCCTTCCATCTGCTACACACTGTGGCACAGACTTAAACTTCTTTGCTTAATGCATGTGCAGGACTCATTTTCAGTGAGGCTTTTGCACGCGAGTGTATTTCAGTATATACATATCTTAAAATAAAATGACCAGATCATGACTAAATCATTCCCAAACAACTTCTTAGGAAGGACTATTTTATGGACTTGCAATTCTTAATTCTTTGGACGCTTTCTCAAACCAAGTGGTTTGTTTGAATCAAGTTCACTGTAAATAGTTTGGGGCATAACCAAGTGGGTTGTGTCAGATTACGGCATTACTTAAGCCTAGCTTTGTAACCTTTTATGCCATAGCTGTTTCAGTAAATATGATGTAGTAGTTTAAAAATAGATTAATGGAACAAACTAATTCACTTAACATGTTACTTTTCAAGACAAACATTGTTTACTCATAGTTAAAATCCTGTGGCAAACATGGGATAGTTTCGCCCAAAACCAAGAAACTGGAAAGTGTTTAGTTTGCAAAGTATTGAGAGTCATCATGAGTCAACAAGTAGTTTTGTCTTTGGTTTTGTTGGGTAGTAACAAGAATTATTGTAAATAATAAGTAGATTAATTGTCCAATATGCTCAAGAATATAGGTGAATTGACTGGGAGTTTCAGTTAATCTGGAAACCTAGCAGCCTCTTTCCTCCAATTATGGCTTCCTTTAGTAATTTTTAAGAATGATGTATTTTGAACGGTGACTTTTTAATACTCAAATGCTGCAAGAGCCTCTTTTTTGTGGCCTCTCTCTGGTTTTAGAGGCTCTCATGGCTAAACCTGCAAATCTTGTTGGTGTAAATAGTCTTTAAAAATTTGCATCTGGTCTGAACTAGAGCAAAACTGCAGCTTAACAAAATACAGAGTGCTGGGCCCTCTATTTCATGCTTTTAAAAATGCACTAATTGTCTTCAATCTATTATAAAACTAACCATTAAGCTCTTTGTGAGATTTCTATTTAAAAAACCTCCCTCCACATATTTAAATACACTTCCTCCATGTTTCATGTTCCTTGGTTTACGGTAGTTAATCTCCATCCAGCATGGGACACTCCTAGGACTGAGGGACTAAATTTGGCCCTTGGACGCTGCATTCGGTAGAGGAGTTTTGCCTGTCAGCCTAAGGATGATGTTTAGTCACTTAAACGTTCAGCATGATTATGTGGTGCATCTGTAAGGATGGTAGTGGTTCACACTATAAGCAAGAAAACAGATCCCTGTATCTGTGTAGAATATAGCCAACTTTGCACTTTAGAAATTTCTGATCTTGCAATTTTAGTACAATACACTATGGTTGTAAATATTCCTTCTGGTCATTTTAATTTTGTTGCACTGATTTCAGTACTGTGCTATTGGTAAGATTTTTATGGGAAACATTACTAAAATGTGTTTTTAATTGTCTGTATAAAATAAACTCATGAAGTGTATCTCTACCTTTAGTATTGGGGGAACACGAGAGGAGGCAGTAATTCATCTGCTTTCCATGTCAATTCAGAGAAATGAAAAGTTTCTGTCTATTCGTTGCGGGATAACATGTTTCATCCCATCCCTGTGCCTAGTATCTAAACTGAATTTTCAGCATTAACATAAATCCTGTTCATGCCTATTAATTATCCCTAAAAAAATAAACCTGTCTCTAAAGATTATTGCCAAGTTATCATAGCAGCATAAGCTACCTTTTTTTTTTTTTTTCTTTTTTTTCCCCCTAACTGGCCCAGTTGAGAGAAGAATAAAGCTCAGCGCGTATGACTGGCATGGAAAGGCCCCTGTAGTGGGTACCTGTCTCCAGATTTTGAGTGCACCATAATGGCATTTCCACAACCACCACTGGATTTGCTCAGATCTTTCCCCACTGGTGATGCTGTCAAATTCAGCAAATGTCACATGGTAACTAGGGGGCCCTTGACCAGCTTTCTATGTAGGAAGGCCTTCCTCCTTTGGTGCCTTCATGGATTACAACCTTCTTGAAGCCATCCTGTACTCTGAATAATCAAACCTCACTGGAATTGGCTCTGATGAGGTTGACCGAGCAGCCTTATTTTGTGAAGACAGTCACCATGCAATTTTAAGCTTCATAGTTTGAAAATTTGTATATAACCACAAGTTTTAGAATACTATTTAAAATAAACGATCTAACTGTATCCGGTTTTGTTTCATCACTTTAAATTTTAAGTATAGTAGCAAGAAAAAGAGTCTATGTTGAATGTTACTTTCTCCAAGTTAAAGCAAATGTAATAATTATAGAGAATACTTTATCCTTGCAGTATGCCCAAAGGAGCGAGATAGTTACGTGAATTGGGTGCATATGGAAGTATGAAGCACTTCAAGTCACGAGGCCGGAAGAGAGGAGGTGGAATTTCCAAACATGTTAAAAAAAAAAAAATCAGGTATAATTTCATACACCTATACAAAATCCTAGTGCTTTCAAAGGCCTGTGACACTAAGATATTCTACATACTACGTGACGAGGTTATTGGGGAAGTGTGGATTGCTGCCACTTCTCTACGTTGCCAGCAGGTGGCCAGTAGATTTGTAGGAAATGGGTTTTCATTTTCAGAGGCGTGGTTGGCTCTTTCAATTTTTAGTGTAAATACACATTAATGCCTTTTAGTCTCTCAGGCTTCAGCACAGTTTCTAGAAAAAAAAAATTAGTCTCTGTCAGCCTCTGATGTCTATTTCTTTCTGAAATAAATCTTTTTCCCCTCAACAAGGTACTTTGAAAAAACCTACGGAAAAGGTGTTTTCATTCATGCATGTTGTGACTTCAGTAAAAGTATCTATAACTGACTGTATAATATTTTTCCTCCTTCCTAGTGATTTAAAGGATTTCAATTTCTATTTAGTCCTTAGAGAATAAGAATTGTTTGGCTGTCTAAAACTATCTTCTGATTAATTTTGATAATATCAAATAATGCTATAAGAATGTGAAGTATGGACTGTTTTGAGCGTAGCATTGGGAATTTGACAATATCCTGGATATCAACTTTAAGACAAACCTTCCTCCCCAATTTAGAAACTAAATTTTTTCTACTTTACAGAGTGTTTTTTTTGTCTGACATTAGATTAATCCGTTCAACCAGGGAGCCAGCCAAACAGGCCATTACATTTGGAGAGCATTCATAATTTTAGCATGTAGCTGCTAGACTGGATTTTTATTTTCCTTTCCTCCATAGAGAAAGTAATCTTTTCAGCAGCAGTCTCTGCTGAAGTGGGTGAACTCTGCAGCGGATTTCCAAGTCACAGAGAGCTGCTGGTTTGTGTTGGGAACTCCTAAGACCCACCATTTCCCTCATGTTGCTTTGAAAACAGCTGATGGGTTACTTGGAACACTTCAGGTTTCAGAAAGCTGAGCAGCTCCTTGCATGTGCAGGACCTGTCTTGCTGTG